CTCCCCCAAAATACTCCTTACCCCAGGTTAACACTCTTTTTGTTTTGTTTTTGTTTTGTTGTTTTTTTTTTTTCTCTACCTACACCGGCTCCATGGCACCAAAACCAGGCATTACTGCCCTAAAACCAAACGGTTACGGTGAGAAAAAGCAGGTGTTGTTACCTAAAATTGACATTATTAGCAGTAAAATACACCTTCTTAGCAATAACAGCAGGTTATTACCTCAAAAAACACATTGTTACCCCAAAAAACATGTTATTACCAAAAAAAGCAGGTTATCACGTAAGAAAAAAAGTCACATTGTTATCAAAAAAATCACAGGATTACCCAAAAAAGCACATTATTACCAAACCGCCTGGCATTCTTATGGAAAATCTAGAGATTGTTATCATAAAACCAGACATTATTACCTAAAATAGAAGATTATCAGTCAAAAAAAGACATTATTTCCTAGAATACCACACTGTTACCTAAAATGTGAGATTATTTACTACAGAAGGTAAACGTTATTACCTAAAACAACCACACTTTTGTCTAAGACAACCACAATTTTACCTAAAATGAGAGATTATTCCTAAAAAAATAGACATTGCCTAAAATAACCACATTATTACCCAAAACACATGACTACTACTAAAAAAAGCAACTGTTATTACCTAGAACAGGAGATGTAATTAAACATAGTCATTATTACCTAAACCACCTGAATATTACTAAAAATGAAGGTTATCAGAATAAGATTGGTACCTTAAAACACACAATAACATCTAAAAATACATCATTACCAAAAAATGAACGTTGTTAACCAAGAGATTGTTGCATTAATAGGATACATTTTCACCTAAATCTGCACATTATTACCCAAAATTGCAAGTTTTGGCTTAATTTACTTTCCCTAAGTCCCACAGGGGTTCTGATCCTGAACCCCAGGGGCGTTGTGACCCCAAGTTCTGCTGGGATGCTGCCCCCAAATTTCCCAGATCTACTCCAAAATTTGGGGCTGTTACTGATGCGAACACGGGGGATCTAATCCCAAATCCTTGAGGTTTAGCCCCAGAATCTCAGGGGGTTCTAACCCCAATTCCACAGGGACTTTAACCCAAAAACCTGTTGGTTCTGACCCTAAAATCCCATTTTCCTCTCCAAAATTTTCCAATGTGGGTGTGCTCCTGCTTGCACCTCAGCTTTGGGGGGTGGGCAAAGAAATCCGAGCCCAAACTCCGAGTTCTGACCCTAAACCCTGAGCTCTGACCCTAAACCCCGAGTTCTCACCCTAAACCCTGAGCTCTGACCCTAAACCCCGAGTTCTCACCCTAAACCCTGAGCTCTGACCCTAAACTCCGAGTTCTGACCCTAAACCCTGAGTTCTCACCCTAAACTCCAAGTTCTGACCCTAAACCCTGAGTTCTCACCCTAAACTCCGAGTTCTGACCCTAAACCCTGAGCTCTGACCCTAAAGCCTGAGTTCTCACCCTAAACTCCGAGTTCTCACCCTAAACCCCAAGTTCTGACCCTAAACCCCGAGTTCTGACCCTAAATCCCGAGTTCTGACCCTAAACTACGAGTTCTGACCCTAAACCCCGAGTTCTCACCCTAAACCCCTGAGCTCTGAGCCCTAACCCTGAGCTCTGAGCCCTAACCCAGAGCTCTGACCCTAAACCCTTGAGCTCTGACCCTAAACCCTGAGCTCTGACCCTAAACCCCGAGCTCTGACCCTAAACCCCGAGTTCTGACCCTAAACCCCGAGCTCTGACCCTAAACCCTGAGCTCTGACCCTAAACCCCGTGTTCTCACCCTAAACCCCGAGCTCTGATCCTAAACCCTGAGCTCTGACCCTAAACCCCGAGTTCTCACCCTAAACCCTTGAGCTCTGACCCTAAACTTCAAGCTTTGACAATAAGCCCCGAGTTTTAACACTAAACTCCGAACTCTGACCCTAAATCCCGAGCTCTGACCCCAAACCCTGAGCTCTGACCCTAAACCCCAAACTGAGCCCACACCCCAAGCTCTGACCCTAAACCCCGAGTTTTCACCCCAAACCCCGAGCTCCGAGCCCGTTCCCGGGGCCGGTGCCCCCGCAGCCGCGGTTGTCCCCCCGAGCCGTTACCGATGTAGGCGCGCTCCTGCTCGCGCGTCAGCCCGGGCGGGATCACCGTGGGCATCCCCGG